TGTGTTGCGTGCGTGCGTGCGTGCGTTGGTGCGTGCGTGTGTGTGTGTGTGTGTGTGTGTGTGTGTGTGTGTGTGTGTGTGTGTCTGCCGAGATGGACGTGCGGTGGGCGGTGAAATGCATGCGAGCCCTGCCGATTGGGCATTCTGCAGAATTCCCCATGGGGCCGAGAATCGCGCGAGGGGTGTGCCGTAATGGCTGACACGCAGAGGGCAGAGGGCCCCCGGGAGCCGAAGGGCCGCTGTGACCGTTCGCGGCGCGAGGCCCAGACATCCGACGATGTGCGTGGTTCGGTCCGCGGCCCTGGAGGTGCCGACACCCTCCGGGGGGACGACAGGGCAGGATAGCAAAGGGCAGGGTAGCGGATCAGCTCGCGTGGCTGGTTTTCCTGGCGCCTCCTGGCGCCGGGAGGCGCCCATGTATATCGAGGACTGAGCGTGGCGGCGGGGCCGAAACCAGCTGCATGAGGCAGATTTCGCACCCCCCCCCCTTTCCCTATCCTACCCCTTGTCGTCCGGCCCGAAGCTTCCAAGGGGCCAAACCTTGTTTTGCCCGTGGATCCACGTTTGAGGGCCCAGGGGTCAGGTAGCGGGCCGAGGCGGGCCCTCTCGAGGCGGGGAGCGGGAGGCATGGGGAACCACCCATTCTTTCCGTACCCCATCTCGATGCTACCGAAGGAGAGGCACGGGGGAAACCACAAGCGGGGGAAACCAAAAGGTAGCGATGCCGGTGCTGCTCTCCATACCTCCCCCGGGGTGCCTTCTAGCCAGGACTCCGAGGCGAATCCAGCGATGGCGACGAGGGCCTCCCAGGAGGCCCCAGAAGGATCAAACGAGGGGAGGGCAGCGGCATGGGGCATGGGTGCCTGTGGCGATTTCTCGACGGCGTCGGCGAAGCATCGGCGACGTGGGTGCGGATGACACCGGGCTCCACATCGAGCCGCGTCGCCGAGCCATCGGCGATGCGGCGCAATCCCCCGACCCAATCTGCTCCGATCCCGTGTGGGCGTCCCAGACCAGTTGACAGGAGCTGCTGCCAGTCTTTGCCCTCGTCGCTCCCGGACACACAGGGGACGCGCAAGGGAGGGACCGCCTCGGGAGGAGACACCTCGACTTGGGAAGTCGGCGACACGCCGTCGATGTCCGGGGGAACCAAAGGATACCGACACCGATACTCCCCGCACCGCTCCGAGGAAGCGCTCTGACCAGAACGCCGACGCGAGTCCAGCGGCTGCGACGAGGGCCCCCGAGGAAGCCCAACAACAAGGAGAGAACGAAGCCAGGGGTAGAGCTATGGGTACCTGGTCCTCCTCGGAGTAGATTTAATTCGGGCCTGCCCCCCGACAGGGGGATTTTCGACGAAACAAAAAAAAAAACATAGTCCAAAAATAGTCTGGGAACTATTTTTCGAGTATTTGTTGACCTTTTTGGGGCATTCTTGCCATATTTTTTATTTTTCGTCGAAGATCCCCCTGTGGGGGGACACGCCCGACTCGAGAGCAGATCTGCTCCGAGCCCCATCTGGGAGGCCCCGGGGACAGGGCACCCCCGGAGACGCCACGCACGCCGCGGAGGGCTCCACGCCCGCCCGCGGCTCCTGCGCCCTCCGGCAGCTGCGGGCCGCCGCCGCCGAGGCCCTCGCCGCGCGGAGGCACCGTCGGCGAGGGGGGGGCGGGGCCGGCTGCTCCCCTCCTCGCCCCGGGGCGGGAGGAGGAGGAGGAGGAGGAGGAGGAGGAGGAGGAGGAGGAGGAGGAGGAGGCGGGA